ATTCTGCTGTCTCCTTTTGTAATACTCTGCTGTCTCTTCTTAAATACTCGCTTGTCTCCTTTCATAATACTCTGCTGTCTCCTTTTAAATGCTCGTTTGTCTCCTTTTATAATACTTTTCCGTCTCCTTTTAAATACTCTTTTATCTTTTCTATAGCACCAAACAAAAGCCTAAAAATTCGTCTCTAGAGACACCCGCCTGCAGGGTCTCTCCTTGCTGTGCATTACGATGTCTCCTTTGATATCTCTTTTTTGTCTCCTTTTCCTCTCTGGTCTGTCTCCTTTTAAATGCCTTGCTGTCTCCTTTAATACCAAACAAAACCCTAAAAACTCTTCTTCTGAGGCACTCGCATTACTGGGCCCCGCACCCCTGTCGACTTTAAAAACGGAGATTTCGTCATCGGATCAACAGACCCAGCAGCAGGTAAACCCTAAACCCTAAACCCTAGCCTTAAATCCTAGCCCTGAACCCTAAATCCTATCCCTAAAACCCTAAACCCTAACCGTAGAGCCTAGTCATAAAGCGTAATTCTATATGCAAGCCCTCGAACTTAGCGCCATACCCTGATTCTAAACCCTAACCCTAAATAAATCCTAGCTGTATAAACCCTAGCCCTAAACCCTAACCCTAAACACTAACCCTAAACCCTAATTTAAGACCCCACTGAGAATCCCTATCTCTAAACATTACATCTACACCTTAAACCCTAATCCTAATCCCCAACCCTAAACCCTCTCCAGAATCGTTAGCTAGCCCTAAGCTGCCCCCGCTCTAAACCCTAACCCTAAACCCTAGCTCAAGCCCTACCTGATAGCCCAACTGATTTTTTATGCTGTGCGTTGCATGCAGATGAAGAAGCAGTTTTGTGTGTTAATCAAGGAAACCTTCAGTGCTGGGTAACCCAGCGGGCCCTGATGTTTAAGGGGTCTACAGAGGGTAAGGAGGGCTTTATATATACATACACCCCAAACCCTAAACCCTAGGGAAGAGTAAACAGCCCAGCCCCAGCAGAGCAAAGCCCTATTATTATATACCCTATGATGCTAATTGAAGGGAGACAGCATCACCCAGCAGCTGTCTCCTTTTAAACAGCAAACAGCTCAGCTGTCTCCTCTTGCTTTGCTGCTGTCTTTATTGTCTCAGTGCCGATACAACACACCGAAGCGCCTGCAGGGCTGTGGTATCCACGCCTGAGCTCAACCAATCCTTAAAGGTAATATCTAGCTATATATTTCTTCTAAAGTACTGCAGCAGCAGCAGTTGTTTGCTGCAGCAGCAGCAGTTGCTTGCTGCAGCAGCAGCAGTTGTTTGCTGCAGCAGCAGCGGTTGTTGGCTGCAGCAACAAACGTACCTTAGGCCATACACAAAACAAGAGATACCCTTCCTGTCACTCTGCCCATTTAGGGCAACCGACCCCGATCCCGGGATCCGATCCCAATTCCTGGAACTGATCCCAGGACTGGGACCCGACCACGATCCCAGGAACCGATCCCGATCCCGGGATCCGATCCCAATAGCGGGATCGGATCCCAGTTCTTTCTCACGACCACCCGCCGGCAACGCGAATTTTTTTTCTTTTAAAGACATCTCAACAATGTACAGCTACTGCTCTGTCTCCTGTAGACAAACTGTCTCCTTGTCCCTCCCTCGGAGAAAGTCAGTTAGTTCCCCTACGCTCTCTCTTCACTTGTGTGCAGCAAGACAGTAGCAGCAGCTGCAGCAGCAACAGCAGCAGAAGGTGAGGTTTCAAAGCCTAAGAGCTTTGCCTTAAGACACGGGAAGTGCAGCAGAGAGAGAGTGAGAAGCAACGCTGCATTCTGCTGCTGTTGCTGCTGCTATTACAACCAGCCCCGTCTCCTAGATGCTGCTGCTGAGTGCATGCAACAGGCAGAAGCTGCGGCAACACCAGCAGCTGCTACAGCCTCTATGCCTTAGCGAGGAGACACACGAAGCCAGGGGTATCTCTATATGGGTAAAAGAGCTGCAGCAGCAGCAACTGCAGCAACTAAAACTGACAGCAGCAAAAGAAAATCCCTAATGCCTCGCTTAAAAACAAAAGATAATAGTAGCCCTTAAGAACATAAACAAAAAGTGCAGGTCCTTCCATCCATACAAAACCTAAATAAAAGAAACACCCCCCCACTGCTTCCCCGGCAATGCAATGCACACCAACGGGGAGGCAAATCGCCTATTTCTACTGCTGCGCTGCTGCTGCTGCTGCTGCTGCTGCAGTTGCTGCTGCAGTTGATACTGCGTCTGATGCTGCAGCAGTAGCAGCAGCTGCTACTGCAGTTGCTGCTGCGTCTGATGCTGCAGCTGTCGCTGCGTCTGATGGTACAGCAGCTGCTGCTGCGTCGGGTGTTGCTACCGCTGCTGCATCGGCAGCAGCAGCAGCAGCACCTGCTGCTGCTTCTGCTGCTTAGGTGCTGGCTGCCTGGCGTATTTTGCCTACGATGTGCAGCAGCACAACAACCCCCATAAAGACGAGCGCCATAATCAGCACGGCTTGAGGGCCCCTGCAGCACAACAGTAGCAGCAGCAGCAGCAGCAGCACAGCAGCAGCAAACGCACAACACAACAGCTATCTCCAACCCCCGTGCACTCTCAAAAAAAGACAGATATCACACTGCTCCTTTTGCTGCAGCTGCTGCTCTTTCTGCCTCTGTCAATCTGTTTCTACTAATAAAGCCTGCTCCTGCTGCTGCTACTGCTGCTGCTGCTGCTGCTGCATGCATACACTCGGAGGCCTGGTGCGTCTTCTGTATAGAACTTCAAAATCCCCTGGTTTGATGCATGCGCCCGGGGCCTTGCTGCTGTCGTTGTTCCGCTAGCACCACCTGAACCCTTAGGAGCTACCCTCTTCCTGCAGCAGCAGCAGCAGCAGCAACAGCATTGGTAGCAGCATTAGCAGCAGCAGCACTAGTAGCAGTATTAGCATCAGCAGCAGCAGATGCCTGCATTTTGGGGCTGTAAAGACTAACCTCGCTGCAGCAGCCCGGGAGCCGCCTACAGTTGTCTGTGCAGACTGAGAAGATAAGGAGTTTGTGCCCTGAGGGAAAAGCCGAAAAAAACAAACAAAAACAAAACAAATACTCCAATATACAGCCCCAACAAATGCATGCATGCATGCAGGTACATGCATGCATGCAGGTAGTACAGTAAATGCAGCACAGCAGCAAACAAAGCGAAGAGAAGAAAAAGAAAAGAAAACATAAACGCCCCTTATATAAACCTAAACCCTAAACACTAAACCCTAAACCCTGGAGCGCAGAGAAAGCCCTCAAGACCCAGCAGCTCTCCACCGGCCCAAACCCTAAACCCTAAACCCTAAACCCTGCAAATGGAGGTATACAGAGGCGAGCTGGGGGTATATAGCAGAGAAAGAGAGGAGACAGACGCAGCAGCAGCAGAACAAAAACAGCAGCAAGCTGCACTGCAGCCTTATATAATCCCCTCAGCATGTTTAAGAAGCTGATATATAAACCCTACTACATATTTCTAATACTCAATAAAAGACAAACAGCAACAAACACTGCCCCAGCCGCGACAATCTGCTGCGGTGTCTATCTGTCAAGAAAGAAGAATTCACTGTTTTGTTGCTGCTGCAGCTGCAGCAGCAGCAGCTGCCGCTGCTGCTGGTGATGCACACACCGCAGCAGAGAGCGGCAAGAAGCAGCAAGAAAGAAAGAAGAGCAGAGAAGAGAGACATGGAGAGCAGCAGCAGCAGCAGCAACAGCCAGCTGTATGTGCAGGACCGCTCTCAAGACACCTACCACCATCGTTCACTGTCTTCAAAAGAAAAATGATATAATAAACAAGAGAGACAAATGTAAATAATTGCTGTAGCAGGTAAACAAACAGAAATACAGCGCAAACTAACATACAAACCCTTAGCTACGCGCTCTATGGCCCGCTCTTTAAAGCCCCGTCGCCGCCTCACGGGCAGCTGCTGCTGCTGCTGCTGCTGCTGCTGTTGCTGCTGCTGCTGCTGTTGCAGCTGTTGAGGCGGCTGCGGTTGGCGGTGCTGCGGTTTCCCTGCTGTTTGAATTTCTTTGTTTCTTCTTAAATTATATTTATTTCAATAAATTAAAAAAATAAATGAATAAAATATAGATCAGCGAGAAACAGCTGCAGCAGCGCTTCCACCAGGGTGCTGCTGCTGCTGCTGCTGCTGCTGCTGCGCTTTGTGTGTGTCCGAAGTTTTCTTTTTTCTTCTTTGTTTTTTAGTTATTTGTATTTATTTATATTCATTTATGCTTTAGAAGACTGCTGCGAATTATCTTTATTTCTATTATACTGCGCGCCCCTCCCCCCCAAGCGGCTTCGCTGGTGTGCAGATGCACAGAGCTTCTTTAAACATTTTTAATGAGGTGTACGTACAGTCCGTGCATGCATGCATCTGACCTCATATGCATGCATTTGTATGTGTGGCTGGGCATGCAGCGTAGGTGCTGCTTATGTAGATAGACGCCTTGCTAGAGAGGCTGTAGTTAAAGAGAAGCAGCAGCAAAGGCAGAAGCAAAGCAGCAGCAGCAGCAGCAGCACGAGCAGAAACAAAGCAGCAGCAACCCTGTGGGGCCCCACACGATGTACGAGGCTGCTGTTTGTCTCTTCTCTTTGCCTATTATCTCCTTTGCTGTGGATATACAGCAGGTAGCAGCAGCAGCACCGCTTACAGCTGTCTCCTAAAACCTAGCTAAACCCTAAAACGCTAAACCCTAAACCCTAAGCTCTAATCACCCACATATCTCTGCTTAGGAGACACCAGGTGTCTCTCCTTTAAACAAACAGCTGATACGTACACCTGGCAGGCGTTCGCCCCAAGCCCACTTCAGCAGCAGCAGCAGCAGCAGCAGCTGCTGCTGCTGCTGTTGCTGTTGCTGCAGTGACTACAGTTATTTCTATCTGTGTAGAACGCTTTAATGCATCTTTTGAATAGAGAGAGTAATGCATACTTGAGGAGGAGACATTTAAACAAATACATGTCTCCCTAGGGCACAATGAAGACAGACAGTGTAGATACACCAGAGACCCCACAGGGGGATGCAGCAAAGAAAGCGCTGCTTCTTGCTTCTGGTATTGAGGCCTGGGGCTTCATTGACAGCAGCAGCAGCAGCAACGGCAGCAACAGCAGCGGAGGCAGGAGCAGAAGTCGCAGCAGCAACAGAAGCAACGGCAGCAGCAGAAGCAGCAGCACAGCGTCGCTGCTGAGAGCAGCAGGAGGCGCTCCAGGAGTATCTTCTACTGCAGCAAATGCAGCAATAATGCAGTGTATTGACAGCAGCAGCAGCAGCAATATGCAAGCAGCAGAAGAGATGGGGGGTCTAGGGCCCCCTTATAAAGTGTCTCCTTGCGCCTCTCTTTCTCTGTCTCTTCATGAAGCAGCAAATAAAGAAGCAGCAGCAGCGAACAGCAGAGAAGTATTAAAGGAGACAGCTGCTGCAGCAAACATAGACGAAGAAAACCCTAAAAAGAGACAGAAAGAGATTATTCAAAGAAAGAGCAGCAAACACAAACTCAACAGCAATCAAAGAGACACGATACAAACAGGAGACACATACTTGCCCTGCTGCAGCAGCAGAAGCAGCAGCAGAAGCAGCAGCAACTCACAGCACTCAGACACGCTTCATGGCCGTAGAGAGCTAAACAGATTTCTACAGAACCAGCAGCAGAAGCAGCAACAGCAGCAGCAGTTGCTGCTGCAACTTAAACCTCAAGAGAAAGAAAGCCCCCAGCTGCTGCTGCAGCCGCAGCAGCACCTGCAGCAAGGGGAGCTTATAGAGAAACAGGAGCAGCAAGAGCAGCAGAAACACCTGCAGCAGCAGCCGCTGCACCTGTTTATAGAGGATGCTAAGCTGCAGGAGCAGGAGCAGGAGCAGCAGCAGCACCAGGATAAGCAATCGCTAGGCACTGAAAAGCACCTGCAGCAGCAAGACCTGCCCGAGCAGCCCCCTAAACAGGAAGAGCAAGAGCAGCAGGAGCAGCAGCTGCAGCAGGTGCAGCAGCTCCAGCAGAGGCACCAAAACCAGACAAAACTTTTGCAGAGCTTCGAGTTGTGGGGAGCGCAGCAGCAGAAGCAGCAGCAGCAGCAGAAGCAACAGCAGCAACATGATTCAGACGAAGAGCAGCAGCAAGCGCAGAAAAAACGCCAGCGCTCTATGGACCTGCAGCTCGTGCAGCAGCAGCAACAACAGCAGCAGCAAGACAACTGGGAACAGGTTCAGCCGGAGCAGCAGATGAAGCAAAAGGAGCAGCGGCAGGAACCGCAGCAGCAGCAGCAGCAGCAGCCACAACATCTTCAGTGCAAACAGCAGCAGCAACAGAAGCAAGAGCAAGAGCAACAACGGCAGCTGCAGGAGTTGCAGCAGCTCCAGCAGCAGAAGCAGCAAACCCAGCAGCAAAAGCATCAGGAACAGCGGCTAAAACAGCAACAGGTGCATCAGCAGCAGCTGCAGCAGCAACTTCACCAGCTCCCAGAGCAGTACCTACAGACTCAGGAGCCAATGAAGCACCAGGAAGAGAAGCAACAGCAGCAGCAGCTGCTGCTGCACCAGCTGCAGCAGGTGCAGCACAAGCAGCAGCTGCAGCAGCAAGAGCAAATTGAGCAAACACGAATGCGTGAAGAACAGCAGCAGCAGCAGCAACAACAACAAAAGCAGCAGCAGCAACAGCAACAACACGAGCAGCAGGATCAGGAGCGACTGAAGCCTAAGGCCCGACGCCACCGGCAGCAGCAGCAACAGACTCAGGGCGAAGTGCAGCACGCGCATCTTGAGCAGCAGCAACAGCAACAGCAGCAGCCGGAGTTCCTGCTGCAGCAGCCGCAGCAGCAGCTGGAGCAACCTTCACAGCAACAGGATCTGGAACAGCAGCAGCAGCAGCAAAAGCTGCAGCATCTCTCTGAGCAGCAGCAGCAACAGCAGTATCTGTCCGAGCAGCAGCTGCAGCAGCGCCAGCATCTGTCCGAGCAGCAGCAGCAGCAGGAGCAGCAGCCGCCGGAACAGCAGCACCTGTCCAAGCAGCAGGAGCACCAGCAGCAGGAGCAGAAACATCTGTCCGAGCAACAGCAGCAGCAGCTGCAGCTGGAGGAGCAGCAACTGTCGGAGCAGCAGCAGCAGCAGCTGCAACTGGAGGAGCAGCAACTGTCGGAGCAGCTGCAGCAGCACCTGCAACTGGAGGAGCAGCATCTGTCCAAGGAGCAGCAGCAGCTGCAACTGAAGGAGCAGCAGTTGTCGGAACGGCAGCAGCAGCAGCTGCAACTGGAGGAGCAGCAACTGTCGGAGCAGCAGCAGCTGCAACTGGAGGAGCAGCGTCTGTCCGAGCAGCAGCAGCTGCAACTGCAACTGAAGGAGCAGCAGCTGCAACTGCAACTGAATGAGCAACAGCTGTCGGCATGGCAGCAGCAGCAGCTGCAACTGGAGGAGCAGCAGCTGCTTGAGCAGCAGCAGCAGCACTACGTGGCGGGCCCTGTCGGTGGGCGATGGTGTGGGGTCTCTCCGGGAGAGATGAGTGGATCGCCTGTTCTATCAGGAGACAGTTTGTCTCCTCTTGTCAATAATTTACAACAAGGAGCAGCAGCGGGGGCCCTCAGCCCGCTGCAGCTGTTGCCTGCAAAGCCTCCCATGCTGCAAGTCCGCAGCAGCAGCAGCAGCAGCAAACCAGCTAGGCAGCAGCAGCAAAACGAGACGATGCTCCATCTACTGCCACACAGTGCGGGAGAGTGCCGTCCTGCAGCAGACGGAATGCTGCATTGGGGCACTGAGATCGTCTCCAGGGATCGCCTTGGGATCGTCTCCGGGGGTCGTCTTGGGATCGTCTCCGGGGACCATCCTGGGATCCTCTCCGCGGATCGTCTTGGGATCGTCTCCGGGGATCGCCTTGGGATCGTTTCCGGGGATCGTCGTGGGATCGTCTCCAGGGATCGTCCTGGGATCGTCTCCGAGGAGATGCTTCGTGAGGAGGGGGAGTTTCTGAGCCCGGGGGAGGCGGCGCAGCGAGCAGCTGAGTTTGCTTTGGCTGCTGAGATGGCAGCAAGACACGCAACAGAGCCGGAAGAGGGTGAAGCAGAAGCGTCTCTTCTTGCTGCTGGTGGGGGTTTGCTGCTGTCACCGTCAGGGCCCAGCGTCGCCTCAGAGGCCTCTCGTTCGCTGCAGCTCTTCCTCGACACCCACAGCAAACGGTTCAGCAGCAGCAGCAGCAACAGCAGCAGCAGCGCCAGCAGCGTCCCATCAGCAGCAACAGACTCGGAACATGCATCCGCAGCAGCAGCTACAACAGCAACACCACCCTCCGCAGCAGCAGCTGCAGCAGCAGGTGCAGCAGGGAGTTATCCTCGCGCGGCGTTGGCGCTGCCACGCGGCAGCAGCAGCTGCTCCTCAGAGAAGGCCCCAATAGAAAGAGCAGCAGCAAGAGCTGCTGCTCGTTTCTTCTCTACTTGTGCAATTCAAGCAGCAGGATTAGCTGTGGCGGGCTGCATGCAGTCACTGCCCGGATATGCTGCGCTGCTGCAGCAAACAGATCTGGGGAAGCAGATGCAGCAGTGGATGCCTCAGCAAGTAGCAGAAACTGCCGTCTCCTTGGATGCTCCTCGAAGAAGCAGCAGCAGCAAGCAGCAGCAAACACACTGCAGCAAGCAGCAAACAGACGGCTCGCTGCTGCAGCAGCTCCACCCCAGACAGCAATCCCCTCGCCACAGATCAGCAGCAGCTAAAGCGGACCCTTCCGAGCAGCAGACTGCAGCGGCAACAGATGCAGCACCGACAGCAGTAGATGCAGCAACAGATGCAGCAAAAGCACCAGCTGCAGCAGCTGCAACGGGTGCTGCCGCCACAGACACAGGACAGCAGCAGCAACAGCAGCAGCAGCAGGAAGCGCACCTGCTGCAGGCATTAGCTGCGCAGGCTCTCGAGCTGCAGCAGCAGCAGCAAAAGGCCGAGGCACTGCAGCGGGAAGTGCAGCACCAGAAGCAGAAGGCGCAGAAAGAGCTGCAGCAAGCACTGCAGCAGCAGCAAGAGGCGCAGCAGCTCTTAGCTATCGTAGCCAAGAAGGAAGAGAGCCTTAACCAGCAGCGAGAGCAGCTACAGATGCAGCAGGAGGTGCAGCAACGACTGCAGCAGGAGCTGCAGCTGCGGGAGACGAACCAGCGGCAGCGCGAAGTAGTGCAGCAGCAGCTGCAGCAGCAGCAGCAGATGCGCAACCACCAAGACAGGCAGCAGCTACACCACGAAGAATTAATGATTCAAATGAGGCAGCAGCTACTAGAGCAGCAGCTGCTGAGACACCAGCAGGTTGTAGCAGACATTGAAAGCCGAGCGGCGGAGCAGCAGAAGCAGCGGGAGCTACTACAGCAGCAGCAGCAACGGGTGCAACAGCAAATGGAAGAGCTGAAGGCCCGCGATCAGCAGCAGCAGCAGAAAAAACAGCAGCTTAACCAACTCCACAGCCAGCTGCAGCAACTTGAAGAGCAAGCCACCATGCGAGAGAGACGCATGCAAGAGCAGCAGGAGCAGCAGCACGCCAAGCAGCAGCAGCTGCTGCAGCAGGAGCAGCAGCAGCAGCAGACCGCAGAACAACTGCTGCAGCAGAAGCTCAAGCTGGAAGAAATGAAGAAAGAGATTGACGAGAAGAAGGCCGAGGGTAGGTGCTTTTTTCTCAACAGCAGCACAGCGGCAGTAGCAGCAACAGCAGCAGCAGCAACAGCAGCAGCAGCAGCAGCATTCCCCTGTAGACAACTCTTAGATGGGCCTGAAGGCCCCACATTATGCAGCATAAATCGTATGAGACTGACAGCAAGGGGTTTGGTGTGGAGTGTTTTGTGTGCAGCAGCAGCAGCAACTGCAGCAGCAGCAGCAGCAGAAGCGAGATGTACTGCATCTGCAGCAGCAGCAAGTGGAGCTGCATGTGATGGGTCTGTACCCGCCTTCTCCTTCTTTGCTTCACATACACTCAAAGGAGAAGATACACTGCAAGAGCTGCAGCAGCTAGAACATCAGTTAGTCTCTCTTTGTCTTAACTACCTTACGCAGCAAAGGAGACAGCTGGCGCTGCTGCGGAAGCCGCTAGAGGCCGAGGGACAGCTCCTCAGACTAGCAGCGCCTGAACCCCCTTCGGCTGCAGCAGCAGCAGCAACAGCAGCAGCAGCAGGACATGCGGCTGCTGACAGCAACCAGCGCTCCCTTGTGGCTTTGAAGCTGAAGGCCTGGAACGCAACTGCAAGGTGAGTTGGGTCCTCTGCTGCAGCAGCAGCAGCAGCTGCTGCTGCTGCTGTTGCTGCTGTTGCTGCTGTTGCTGCTGCATCTCAAGCCTCTGCTTCTGCATCTCTATTTGCTGCTGCTGACAGCTGGTGGTTCCTCTATCGCAGCAGCATCAGCTGCTGCTGCATCTCCAGCTGCTGCTGCTGCTGCATCTCCAGCTGCACCGCCAACTGCTTCTGCTGTTGCTGCTGCCGCTGTATCTCTAGCTACTGCTGCTTCTGCTGCATCTCCAGTTGCTGTTGATGGCAGCTGCCTACACCCCACACACTTCTGCTGCTGCTTCTCTCAGGTGCGTCCGCCTGGCCCTCTCCGCCTTAACAAACCGTGCCAAGTACCTCATCGCTAATGGGGGCCCCAGGGGGCCCCTAGGGGGCCCCCCTGTGGGGTCGCTAGGGGGCCCCCCTGTGCGGTCGTTAGGGGGCCCCCCTGTGGGGCCCCTCGGTGCCCTCCTGCCAGATGCACTGGGAGGGGCCCCTGTAGGGAGCTCTGGGGGCTCCTCGTTTGCTGCTGCTGCTGCAGCAAAGCTGCAGCAGCAACCCAGTCAACCAAGTCACTGTAGCATCACGCCCCCACTGACTGCAGCCGAGTTCTCAACTTCGGCTGTACACCCCAGCAGCAGCGAAAACTGCGCTGCTGCTGAAGCTGGAGCCGCCGCTGTAGCAGCAACAGCAGCAGCAGCAACAGCAGAAGCACCAGCCAACGTAGCAGGAGTGGTTCCCCACCTACCGTGGGACGCTGCTCGTGCCTCTGCTGCAGCCGAGCCACTGAAGCAGCAACTGCAACAGCAGCAGCAGCAGCAGAACGGGTGGAAGCTGCCGGCAGCAGCAGCAGCACCTCATCCAGAGGCCCCTTCATCGGTTGAGGGGCCCCCTGAGAGGCTCTGCTCAGGCTCTTCTGAGGTGCTGCTGCGGCTGCAGTCAGGTTTGCAAGTAGGGGATTTGTCTGTGCTTGGGTTTACGGGGGGCCCCCCCTCCCCTTGGCCTGAGGCAACAGCCACCAATGGGGCCCCTGGGGACCCCCCCTCGCTCTCCTTAGCGCCTGTCAGCAGCAGCAAACCCCCTTATACGGGCCTTCGGAACACAGCAGCAACAGCAGCAGCAGCAACAGCAGCAGCAGCAACAGCAGCAGCAGCCGCTTCGGCTTCTACAGACTCCAAGAGAACGACGGCAAGGAGTCGGGGCATGTTGGGGGCGCAGCAAACTGAAAATGCAGCAGCAGCAGCAGTATCAGCAGCAGCAGCAGCTGTTGCACCTGCAGCAGCAGCTGTTGCACCTGCAGCAGCAGCAGCACCACCAGCACGCGGATGGGGGACTCCCCGCCTGCAGCTGCAGCGCCGGCAGCAACTCGCTCCGCTGCGGCCCCCTAGGGGCCTTCTCTACAATAGCTGAGCTGTCTTCTTTGTGTTTTGCATGCGAGGATGGAGACAACTCAGCAAGTTTTCTTCTATGCTGCTGCATATCTAATACACTAGACATCAACCTTTCGTTTGGTTGCTGCTAAAGCCGCAGTGGCTGCTGCTGCTACTGCCGTTGCTGCCGCTGCTGCTGCTACTGCTGCTGCTGCTACTGCTGCTGCTGCTACTGTTGCTGCTACTGCAGCTGCTGTGCTGCTGCTGCTGGTACTACCAATGCTGCTGCTGCTGCTGTTTCTGGAGTTGACGCTGCAGCAGCTTAGCTGCAAAAGAGACAAGAGCGTCGCTTAAATAAAGCACAAAAAAATCCTTCGACGCAACAAACGTGGGATCGACTCCCCATGAGAACACTGGGATCGTCTCTTGGGGAGTCGATCCCCTGTGTGGGGATGGTCTATTGGGGAGCCGATCCCCAGAGTGGGGATCGTCTCTTGGGGAGTCGATCCCCTGCGTAAATACCCTCTGTTGTACCCATTCCTGGCTCTTTGAGGGTCGATCCCCTACGTGGGGATCGTCTTCTCCGGATCAGAAGTGTGGGGATTTCGTCACATTACCCCTCTGCAGTTGGGCGCCCCACAGCAGCAGATCTCCTGCTGCAGCGAACTCTCGGAGAGGCTGCAGGCAGCAGCAACAGCAGCAACAGCAGCGCAGCAGCGGACGTAAGGATGATGCTTGATGCACAGATCCCCAATTCTGCTGCTCGTTTGCTGCTGCCTCGCTTTGCTGCACTTGCAAATGTCTTTGTGTCTCCATAATAAACAGCATTACCAAAGAAGACTAACGCTCGAATGATGCATTCGCTGCCACGTATGCATCAATGCATGCAGCAGCAGCAGGAACAGCAGCAAAAGAGACAGCAGCAGCAGGGACAACAGCAACACAGACAACAACAGCAGCAAGCACAGCAGACGCAGAAACAGCAGCAACAAGGAGAGCACCAATACAGACAACAGCAGTTAGAACAGTAGCAGCATAGACAGTAGCAGCAGGGACAGCAGCCGAAAGGACAGCAGCAATACGGGCAGCAGCAGCAGCACAGCGAGCAGCAGTAGCACAGAGATCAGCAGCAGTACATAGAGCAGCAGCAGCACATAGAGCAGCAGCAGCACATAGAGCAGCATCAGCAGCACAGAGAGCAGCAGCAGCACCTAGAGCAGCAGCAGTTATGCATTTTTAAATTATACTGTACTAAGTATACACTTCGCTCTACTCCTGTCTCTCTAACCTGTAGTTATAGAGCAGCTCTTCCCCCATGGAGATGTCTCTCAAAGCCAACAGCCCCACATGACTGCCCCCCTCCTCTTCGTCTTCATCCTAAGCACCCGCAGCAAAAACATGCATGCAACACCATGCATGCATGCATGCATGCATGCATGCACCACTAGCAACAGGAGCGGCAGCAGCACCAGCAACAACAACAGAAACACCAAGAACAACTCCACAAGTACATGCATGCACCACCATGCATGCATACACCACCACCATTCATGCATGCATGCATCTGCATGCAACAATATGCATGCATACATCATTATGCATGCATACACCATCATGCATGCATACATCATTATGCATGCATACACCAACATGCATGCATACACCAACATGCATGCATGCATCTGCATACACCATTATGCATGCATACATCTGCATGAATCTTTATGGAAATGCATGCAGATGCATGCATGCAGATGCATGCATGTACGTGCATGCATTTGCATGCATAAGTCTTACGAGTATATCTACGGTAGCGCAGTTCGGAGCGCACGAGTGGTTAATGAAGCGAGTGGAGGAGCCGCAGGTGGTGGCATCCACAATTGAGCCGTCTTTGAGTTTAAAGAAATAAGTACTGCCACCCATACTCTGTACATACTGAGCCTCTCTGCATGCATGCATGCAGCAGCAGCAGCAGCAACAGCAGCAACAAGAACAATAACTCATTAACTACTCCCTCCCATACTCTGTACACACTCAGCCTCTCTGCATGCATGCATGCATGCATGCATGCATAGAAATATATATTTACAGCAGCAGCAGCAGCAAGAGCAGCAGCAGTAACAACAACAGCAAAATTCAGCAATAAGTGCTCCTGCCCCCACTCCCCATGCAATCGACCTCTCCAAAGCAACAAATATATATATATATATATGCATGCAAGCACTACATATATATATATGTATATAGTTATATATATATATATATATATATGCATGCAAGGATGTGCATGCTGACAAGAAGTTTGCCTTTGCTTCGGAGACGGCGTTGCCGGCGTACTCCACTATAAACTCCCCTCGCCTAATGGGCTCTGCAGCAAAGACACCCCATCTGCAGCAGCAGCAGCAGCAACAGCAGCAGCAGCAACAGCAGCAGAGAAGACAGCAACACAAAGACAAGCAAGTACTCAATTAAAGCATTAAAGCAGCACCATCACAAAACATAAAAAACTCTAAGTCGAGCGGAAGGCCCTCGCCGCCAGCTGCTGCGCACGGAATGCAACAGCAGCAACTGCAGCAGCAGGAGCAGCAGCAACCGCACCAACAGCAGCAACCGCAGAAGTAGCACCAGCAACAACTGCAACAGCAGCAACGGCAGCAACCGCACAAACAGCAACAGCAGCAGCAGCAGCAACGACCACACAAACAGCAACAGCAGTAACAGCACAAACAGCAACAACAGCAGCAGCAACACACAGCAGCAGCAGCAGCAGGACATACCCGTGGACAGCAGATCTGCCGATCCGGAGACGTTTTTGTCTGGCTGCGAGTTGTGTTGCCTTCGAGGGGCCTTCGTACAGCTGCGCCGCCTCTGCAGCTCGAAGCAACGCAGCAGCAGCAGCAACCCACACCCAATCAAGCAGCAGCAGCAGCAAAAGCAGCAACAGCAACAACAGAAGCAACAGCAACAACCGCGCACGGCAGCGACTGCAACAACAGCAGCAGCACGACCACCATTACCAGCAATACAATCGACTGCAGCAACACAAATAGCAGCAGCAGCAGCAACAACAGCAACAGCAGCAGCAGCCGCAGCAGTGTGGGGCAGCTGCAGCTGCACTCACTCAGCCTGTCAAGCTCATCATATATAAAAAACAAATTGTTGCGGTGCTGCTGCAAATCTGCAGCCTCAGGCAGACAGCCACTCTCCTGCGGAGAAGCAGCAAAGACAAAGGAAGAAGGCGATACACCCCAATAAAGCAGCAAGAGCAGCAGCAGCAGGAACACCAGTAGGTGCAGCAGCAGCAGCAGCAGTAGTAGTAGGAGCAGTAGAAGCCGCAGCAGCAGCAGGCAGGGGGGTGCTGCTGCATCAGAGACGCCAATGCAAAGACAGAGGCCAGGACTGCTTAGCTAGCCGCATAACTAGCTAGCTAGCTAGCTAGCTAGATTGTCTAGTTAGCTAGCTGTTCAGTTGGCTAGCTAGCCAGCTAGCTAGTTGTCTAGCTAGCTTTGATGTCCAGCTAGCTAGCTGGTGCGGCAGATGAAGGGCAGAGGTGGAGGGAGACAGAAAAGAGACAGCAAGGAGACAGTTAAAAGACAGCAAGGAGACAGCAAGGAGATATAAGACACAGCAAGGAGACAGTTAGAAGACAGCGAGGAGACACAAAAGACACAGCAAGGAGACAGTTAAAAGGCAGCAAGGAGATAGTTAAAAGGTAGCAAGGAGACAGTTAAAAGGCAGCAAGGAGACAGTTAAAAGGCAGCAAGGAGACAGTTAAAAGGCAGCAAGGAGACAGTTGAAGCACCTCGACAACAACCCCAAAGAAAGGAGACAATCGATGTCTCTGCGCCTCTGCAGCAGCAACCTCAAGCACAGCACCGCTTGCTGCCTGCCACGGAGCAGCTAACACGCGGCGGCTGCTGTCTCCTTGCAGCGGGGGCTCTTCAGGAGACAACGCTGCAGCAGCAGCAGAACCCAACCGCTTTGCTGCTGCTGCTGCTGCTGCTGCTGCTGCTGCTGCGCCGGAGGAAGGCCCCGCACCCTTCGGCTCGCCCGCTCCTGCTGCTGCTGCTGCGGCTTCCGGTGTCCATACTGCCTCCCTTTGCTCTGCTGCTGCTGCTGCTGTTGTTGCTGCTGCTGTTGTTGCTGCTGCTGCAGAGGAGACTCTTTGGGCCGTCTTTTTGCGCGTGGAGGCCCTGGAGACGCGCTGCTGCAGAGACACCTCAGCAGAAGCCCCTGAACAAACAGCAGCAGCAGCAAGGCAGCAAGCATAAAACAAATACAGATGCAGCGAAAGATATGCAGCAGAAGCAGCAAAATACGAAGTATGCAGCAGCAGCAAGATTAGACGAAGCAGCAACAGCACACCAAGAGGCCACACAGCAGCAGAAGTTGTAGCAGCAGCAGCAGCAGCAGCACAAAAAGACGCAGGACAACCAACAGCAGCAGCAGACCAGTAACAGCAACAGCACCACCCACAACAAAAACAGCAATAGCAGCAGCAGCACCAGCAGCAGCAGCAACAGCAGCAAGAGAAGCCGAACCGTTTTCATCGAGGAGACTCCAAGCAAAGAGATCAACGCTTTGCCAGGGCACCGGCTCCTCTTCTTCCTGCTGCTGCTGCTGCTGCTTCTGCTGCTGCTGCAGCAGCTCAGCACGATTTCCAGCGGGCTTCACATCTTCTGCTGTCTCCTCAACTTCAGGAGACCGCCAACACTCACGGGAGACAGGACCTCGTACAGCAGCAGGCAGCAACCCCGCAGCAGCAGCAGCAGCAGATGGTGGTGGTGATGATAATAAAGGAGGAAAAGCTGCAGACAGAGACGATCCGTCCGCTGCTGCAGCTCGGTAGCTGCTGCTACTGCTGCTGCTGTTGCTGTTGCTGCTGCTGCTGCTGCTGCTGCTGCTGCTGCTGGTAATTTTCCGTGTGCTGCTGCTGCCGCTGCCAGCAGCAGCAGCAGCAGCAGCAGCAGCAAGCCCTCTGCCTTCTGCTGCAGCAAATGGTTTCTCTAAAGAGGAAGCAAATCGATGGAGTTGATGACGACTCATCAAGGGGACACCCCGAACGACGCGGGCCCCAAAGGGTGTTGTTTGTATAAGAAGCCCTGCAGCAGCAGCAGCAGCAGCAGCAGCAGCAGCAGCAGCAGCAGCAGAATTGATTCTTTAGAGGAGGAATTGTATGTTTTGCTGGGCAGAGAAGAAGCAAAATAAACCGCAGAGACAGCAAACCCCAAATAGAAAAAAAGCAGAGACAAAAAACAGAGACAGAAGAAAGACAAACAGAGACAGAAGAGAGACAAAAGGAGACAGAAGAAAGACAAAAGAAGACAGAAGAAGAAGACAAAGAGGAAGGAGACAGAAGCAAGACAAAAGGAGACAGGAGGAGACAGAAGCAAGACAAAAGGAGACAGAAGCAAAGGAGGAAGGAGACAGAAGCAAGACAAGAGGAGACAGCAGCATAAGAAGGAGAGACAGAAGCAAGACAAAAGGAGACAGCAGCATAAGAAGGAGAGACAGAAGCAAGACAAGAGGAGACAGCAGCAAAAGGAGACAGAAGGCCTAACCTGTTTGTGTGTCATCGCATGCAGCAGGAAGCCCCCCAAAAGTCATGCATTCTGTGATGAGTGCAGCAGCTTTCAAATGCACGTCGCTCATTAAGCCTCCACACGCCTCAGCTGTCTCTCTACTACAGACACAAGAAGAAGCATGAGGGATAATACCTGCTGCTCCTGCTGCTCCTGCTGCTCCTGCTGATCCTGTAGCAGCTGCTGATCCTGTATCAGCTGCTGCTCCTCCAGCAGGTGTAGCAGCTGCTGCTCCTGCTGCAGCTGTTGTAGCTGTTGGAGCTGCTGCAGCTGTTGCAGCTACTGGATCAGCTGATGGAGACGGTGTAGCTGTTGCAGTTGCTGCAGTTGCAGCAGCTGCTGCTTCGCATGCATCTGAGGCATCTGCTGCTGCTGCTGCTGCACTTGCTGCATCGTCGGCATGTGCTGTTGTTGTTGCATCTCCTTCAGCTCCCGCAGTTGCTGCTGGTGCTGCAGCTGGTGCTGCTGCAGCCGGTGCTGCGGCGGTTGGTGCTGCTGCAGATGCTGCAGCATCTGCCTTTGCTGCAGCGGGGGCACCCCTGTCTTCCATTTGCTTCAAGAACTGCAAGAGAGCAGCAGAGAGGAAGGCAAGGACGCGCAGCAGCAGCAGGCGTTCCTTGTCAACGGTCGTTGCTGCTGCAGTTGCTGCTGCAGCAGCTGCTGCGCCTGCTGCAGAGGCTGCTGGAGCCCCTTTGGCTGCTTCAGGACCAGCAGCAACAGCAGCAGCAGCTGCAGCAGCTTCCAGTGCAACAAAACAGCTGCTGCACGGGGGACTCGTGCTGCTTTGCGTACTGCAGCAGCAGCAATTTAGCCGCAACAGCAAATACCGCAGCAGCAACCTCAACGCCTTCTTGGGGGCCCCCTGCGGGTAGCTGGGGGGCCCCTCACTGCAGCACAGTGCAGCAGCAGCAGCCTCTACCAGCCGGAGGCATCGACGGTAGCAGTCGCCAACAGCAGCAGCCGCTGCAGCAAACGAGGCATCTGTTGCAGCAGCATCCGCAGCAACAGCTGCTGCAGCAGCATCTCCGGGCAGCAGCAGCTCCACAACTAGTGGGGTAGTCTGCTCAGCGAGGAAGCACCGCAGCGCACCAACAGCAGCAGCAGCAGCAGCAGCAGGTTGCTGCAGCGCGAGCGTGAGGGTATTGATGCTTCTAGGGACTCCGCTGCTGCTGTCTTGCAGCAGAAAGGAGACAAATGGGTGAGCAGCAGCTGCAGCCAGCCCCAGCTGCAGAGACACCCGAGTAAGCACATCTTCTTGTAAGCGAGGGCCCCCCACAGGGGGCAGCAGCACTGCAAGAAGATGCCGGCAATCTGCTGCTGCTGCTGCTGCTCCTGTTGCTGTTGTTGCTGCTGCTGCTGCTGTTGCTGTTTTTGCTGCTGCTGCTGCTGCTGGACCTTCGATGGGGAGGGAGTGCAGCTGCTGCGGCATTAAACACATCACCTCAAACCAACTCAGCCGCCGAGAAGCAGCAGCAAAGGGCCCCCGCTGCAGCAAAGCGGCGTCCGGGGGGCCCTCCAAGCTCTCCTCCTCGTGCCGGGTACTTATCGTGCTGCTGCTGCTGCTGCTGCTGCTGCTACTGCTGCTACAGCAGCAGCAGGAGACGCAACAGGAATTGATGCTGCCACAACGCAGGCAGCCGTCGCCGAGGAGTCGCCGCAGAAACGGCATCTGCTGCTGCTCCTGCTGCTGCTGCTGCCGCTGCTGCTGCTGCTGTTGCTGCCCGTCTGAGGCATTGGGCGATGCCTGGCTGCAGGGGCAGGAGCTGCATTTGCTGCTGCTGCTTGCATCAGCCCCAGAGCAACACGCCGCTGCAGGTGTGGGGCCCCACAGCTTGGCTTCTAAGAGCGCCTGGTGTACTGACGGCACAAACATTTTGCTGTCTGCTGCTGCTTGAAGGTGCTGCAGCAAGAAGGCAGCAGATGCTGTTGTTGGTGCTGCAGCAGCACACAACGCCAGAGGGCCCCTCTGCTGCTTCTCGGGAGGACGTAGCACAGGCGCCTCAAATGCCTCAGCAGCAAACTGCTGCTGCTGCTGCAGCAGCAGACGCTGCAGATTCTGCAGCAGTACAACACACAGCAGCAGCAACGCAGCAACTCAGACACCACCCACCAAGGAGGCAGCAAGACAATGTGCGTTCACCGCAGCAGCAGCAGCAGCAGCAGCAACAGCAGCGGCTGCAACACAAGGGGCCGTACCGTCTCCTGCTCCTGCAGCAGGCGGGCTGAAGTTGTCTCTCCTCGCGCTCCAGCAGACGGGGGTAACGGTTGCTGCTGCTGCTGCTGCTGCTGCTGCTGTTCGTGCTGCTGAGTTGAAGGCCCAGAGGAGCCTTGAGATCTTGCGTGAGTTGCAGCTGCATGCGGAGCTGCTGCAGGAGACACTGGATGCCCCTCAGCAGCAAATGCAGCAAGCAGCTGCTGCTGCTCTGCTGTGCAGGTTTTGGGGGCCCGCAGCAGAACTTTGCTTAGTAGCAGCAGCAGCCGCGCCGCTGCAGCAGAGCATGCATCAGCGAAAGCTCCCTGATCGAGCACCTGGAAGTGCTGCTGCTGTTGCTGCTGCTGCTGCTGTTGTTGCTGCTGCTGTTGTTGCTGCTGCTGTTGCTGCGCAGAGCTGCAGGAGATGCATGTTTGCTTGTTTAGCTGCTGCAGGGCTACAGCGAGGTCCTTCAAAGTCGGCCTGCTGTGGCCGTCCGGCCCAGCAGCAGCAGCAGCAGCAGCACCTGCTGCTGCTGCTGCTGCTGTCGCTGCTGCTGCTGCTGGGGAAGACGCGTGCTGCTGGTCAACGGGGAGCAGCAGCGCAAGCAGCGGGGCGAGAAAGGAGTGCTGCTTTTTAAGATGGAGACAGTGAGAAGCAAAAGGAGACAGCTGCAGCAAACCTGCCTCGCTCTCATATCCACACAACCTACAGAGACAAACAGCAGCAGCAGCAGCAGCAGCAGGGAAAGCAGCAACGGCTACAACATGAGTTAGATACAGAGGGCCCCTGAGACGAAGAAAAGCCCCCGCCAACACCCAAACTGCAGCAGCAGCAGCAACAGCAGCAGTGCAACAGCAACAACAACAGCAGCAGCAGCAGCAGCAGGAGAGAGACTCACCTGCATGTCAAGCCCCTTTGGCTCTCAGCAGCAGAAGGAGACACCTGGAGACAGTTGGCTGCCTCTCGCAGCTGCTCCTCGTGCACAGCATCAGCAACCTCCAGATCTGTTTGCTGCTGTTGCTGCTGCTGTTGCTGCTGTTGCTGCTGCTGCTGCTGCTGCTGCTGGCCTTGTTCAGGGGCCCCAAATAACACAGAGCCCTGCTGCTGCCGCGAGAAGGACCACGAGAGGAGAAGCACAGCCGCCGTGCTTGGGGCAGCAAGCTGCTGCTGCTGCTGTTGCTGTTGCTGTTGCTGCTGGTTGCTATCGACAGCAGCAGCAGAAAGACATGCAGCAGCAACTGCAGCAGAGGCTAGGGCCTCTGCAGCAATAAGAGATCCCCCTGTCTCTCTTCCTGGTGTCTTATCACCTCCCCTGTGTGCCCCTGCCCGTCTGCCGCCGACATCCCTATCTGCTGCTGCTGCTGCTGCTGCTGTTGCTGCTGTTGCTGCTGCTCCAGCCGCCAATTGGCTGGGGGCCCCCAGGGGCCCCCCTGAACCCTGTTTGGGTTTAAGCGAGCGACTGCGGCGCTCTGTGTTTGCTGCTAACGGCAGCTGCAAGAAGAAAACATAAGCAGCAAATAAGAGACGCCTGGGGCACGTTAGTTGCTGCTTCTGCTGCTGCTGCTGCTGTTGTTGCACCCCAGACCCTGCCTCCTGCTGCTGCTGCTGTTGCTCCTGCTGCTGCTGCTGCTGCTGCTGCTGCTGCTGCGGGTTTCTGCGAGGAGAGGGGGGGGGCCCCGGGCAGCCATCGCTCGAGAGGAGGCGCAGGGGGAAGTAGCGGCAGCAGCTGGTGTGGGGCCCCACAGCATTATTGTATGCCTTGATGCAGACAGCTTGTCTTTTTGCTTCCCAGTGAATAGTAGCTGACGAGAAGGGAGGGGCATCTAATAAGCTGTCTTTCTTTATAGGGGCCCCAGAAGGGCTGTGACGCTTACGTGCTGCTGCTGCTGCTGCTGCTGCACGCAGCAACGCAGGCATCGACTCAGGATGCCGCTTCCATATCGGCAGAGACTGCAGCAATGCTGCAGCAGCAGCAAACTGCTGCTTCACAGGCCTACTCTCCTCCTGCTGCTCCTGATCATCCTCCTGATGCTCCTGCTTCTGCTGCTGCTGCTGTTGCTGTTGCTGCTGCTCGCTGCTGGCTGCACGAGGCGAGAACAGCTGACGAGACACCGGGCGCCGTCTGGGCAACGGGCCAGCAGCAGCAGCAGCAGGAGCAGCAGCAGCAGCAGGAGCAAGGCCCTTCTCTTTCTGCTTCTTGCTGCTCTCTAAACAGAAGAGACTCTCCTGGAGACCATCAGCAGCCGCTGCAGCAGCAGCAGCAGCAGCAGCAGCATCGGGGGGCCCCTGCTGCGCCGGGAGTGTCTGCTGAGCTTCAGTGCGGCGCCTCTTGCTGTGGAGACAAAGCAATGAATTGTGGGGCCCCTGGGGCCCCTCTCGGTGGAGGAGACAGCCAAGCTGCGCATGATAGATGCATGCAGAGGAGCAGCAAGGGGCCCCTGGTGTGCTGCTGCTCGTGCTGCTAGCAGCAGACACCGCGAAGGTATTAACAAAAGAAGGGGGCAAAGGAACAGGAAAGGAGACAGTTGAAAGCCTTTTGCGATCGCCCATCATTGTTAAGAAGAAGAGCCGCTTTCAGGCGTCTCCTTCTGCCTCTGCAAGATTAATATCAATGAAAGAAACCCCTCGAGAACTGCTGCTGCTGTTGCTGCTGTTGCTGCTGCTGTACAAGCTGCTGCAGCCCCAGCATCAGCAACAGCATCTGGCTCACCAGCAGCCTCTATAGTTGCTGCTGCAGGGAGGAGAAACACAGGCAGCAGCAGGGAAATAAGAGCAGCAGCAGCAGCAAGCTGGCTCCTGCCTTTGCTGGAGACTCAGCAGCAGTAAGCAGGGATCGTTAGAGCAGTCTGTTGGTTTGCTGCAGTAAGAGCAGCAGCTGCAGCATTTAAATACAGTATATTAAATAGAATAAACAATCATTAAAGACAAATACAATAAACAACTAGAGTAATGCATGCAGGCCTCCCTCCTAATCTCTTTTTAAGGGGCTGTGTTTATGAATATAATATATATATTCAGCAGACAACAGCAGCACATCATAAGACAGCCAAATCAGCCTGAGTATAATAATATAATTATCTGTCTTTGTTTATTTAAAACTAGCTGAGAAAACAATTAATATATATATAAATATATATATTTATATATATAATAATATTCAGAACAATTAAGGTCAAGCAAAATAGATAAGGGCCTATGGCGCAATGGTAGCGCGTCTGACTCCAGATCAGAAGGTTGGGCGTTCGACTCGCTCTGGGCTCAGTAAATAAATTATTTGTTTTTCTTTTATTTCTTAAGAAATTAACTTTATTTAACTCTTTTTATTCAATTATATTCAAACTTTTACTCTATATAGAGACCGAATTCTATTTTCACGCTCTGCTCCTGCTCCTGCTCTCACCCCTCCTCGCTGCATGCAGCTGCAGCAGCAGCAAGTCAGGGGGCTGCTGCTGCTACTGCTGCTGCGGCTGTTGCTGTTGTTTGCTCAAGTTCGGGTGTATCTGCTTTGTTTTTCTTAAAATTTCTTCTTATAACGCGAAGTATAAGGGTTTTCTGCTGCAGCTTAGTCGGATCTTCTTTCCTTCTTCTGCCCGCTGCTGCTGCTGCTGCTGCTGCTGCAGCGCAGCACCCAGAGTAAAGAAAGAAGAAGAGAGAGATTGATTCCTTTGGTGGTGTTGATCAGCTTTTTATTTCTTGAGATCTGCTGGAGACTGCACGTCCGCCTCTCCACCCCTTTTGCATATTGTTGTTGTGTTAGCAACGTGAAGATGGCAGCCAAACATCGTAAGCAGCAGCAGCAGCAGCAGAAACAGCAGCAGCAGAAACAGCAGCAGCAGAAACAGCAGCAGATGCAGCAGTAATAGTAGCAGCAGAAACAGCAGCAGCTGCAGCAGTAGTAGTAGTAGCAGCAGCAGCAGCGAGACCAACAGACACCTGATCACACCAAGAGAAGCTCTTTTAACGCTGCGGCCTTCAGCGACTCCTGCTGCTGGATGTTATTGTGTTGCTGCTGTTTCTGCTGCTGCTGTTGCACAGATCCCGACTTGATTATGTGCCGGAAGCAGCCAGGCATCGGTAGGTGGAGAGGCCTTTGCGCTGGAGCAGCCGCAGCAGCAGCAGCAGCAGCAGCAGCAGAAGGAACAGCAGCAGCAGCAACACTTGTGCATCAGTTTGTCTGTTTGTTTAGAGGCAATATGCATGTTTAGGTGTATGCGTCTCTGGCTATTTATTATATCTCTCCCTTTGTCTCTATCTTCTTTCATCTCTATCTTCATTATCTGCTTCTGTCTCTGACTCTGTCTTTTTTATCTGTCTCTGTCTCTGTCTTTGTCTACTTTATTCCTGCCTCTGTCTCTGTCTTTATCTTCTTTATTTGCTTCTGTCTCTGTCTTTATCTTTTTTATCTGTTTCTTTTGTCTCTATCTTCTTTATTTGCTTCTTCTTTTGTCTCTGTCTCCGTGTGTCTCCATCAATATTTTCGTCTTTATCTTTTTTTTTTGTTTTTTGTTTACTTTGTTTGTTTTTTAGTTTGTTTGTCTTCTTCCTTCCTGCTGCAGTTCTATGCCCCTTGACACCAAAATAAACTGTTAAATAGATAAATAAACAGCCAGATAAATTAATAAAATAACTAATTTAATTAATTTAATTAATTAATATATTTATTTATTTATATATCTATATATTTCTTTATTGTTTATATACATATATACAGCAATCGGGTGTCTGTGCGAGCGCTGCGATGTCAACTGCCCCGTATGTGAAAGTTTCAACCCTCTTCACACGAAAATAAACAAGAAAATAATTTTAAAAAACAAATAATTAATTAATTAATTAATTAATTAATTTGTTAATTTGTTTATTTGTTTACAGCAATAGGACGTCTGTGCGAGCGCTGCGATGGTAAATGCCCTATATGCGACAGCTATGTTCGACCCCACACTTTAGTTCGAATTTGTGATGAATGTAATTACGGTTCGTTTCAAGGCCGTTGTGTTATATGCGGAGGTCAAGGTATATCGGATGCATTTTATTGCAAGGAGTGCTGTCAGATGGAGAAAGATGTACGCCTGCATGCATTATTTTCTACAACCCTATCCTTCATTCTTATCAACTACCAAACTAGATAAACAACTTTCTTATCTGCTAGCTTGCATTCTTACTAGCTAGCTAGCTAGCTAGCTAACTAACTAACTAATTAGCTAGCTACCTAGCTTTCTTACTAGCTAGCTAGTTGAGTGCACATCCATTCATTTGTAGGGATGCGGGTAGCAGTAGGAGAGGAGGCACGGCGTAACATCAAACCCTAAACCCTAAACACTAAACCCTAAGCATAAACCCTAAACCCTGGCTGGAAGCACGTTGAGGCTTTGCATCGAGTGCAGTGTTTCGAATGTAGGGTTTAGGGTTTAGGGTTTAGGGTTTGTATGTGTATGCGTTTCTTTGCAGCGAGATGGATGCCCTAAGATTGTAAACTTAGGGAGCGCTAAGTCAGATTTATTTTACGCAAGAAAACAGTTTGGGGCAAAGCGAAACTGATATTATATTTTCTTTTGTTTTTTGTCTTAAACCAAATATACATATATATATATATACATATATCTATCTATCTGTATATATGTTTATTTTATATGCAATATAAACACCTTATATATGTCGGCTCTCTGGCTACTCTTTCTGTGAAGTACATATTAATATATGATTCCTACTTGTTGCTTACTGTAGGCAGTCTACAGCTTTACCCTTTTATCGATACTTTGTTTAGGTTTATACTGAGGGACGTATAGATAGATAGAAAATAAATAATATATATATATATATATTAGTTAAAATAAACACCTATGAAACTCTATAAAGATATATATATATATATGTATACAAATTTATATGCATATCTATGTGTATATGCATATATATATATATATATATATATATATATATAAGTAGGCACGGAGTGGGAAGTTGGAAATAGTGCAGTTGGTAGCGCCTCCACTTCTCAGGCCGTTGGTCAGGGTTCGATTCCCAGCGTGTTGATTGCTTACTTTGTTTTGCTGCTGCTGTCCTCCTGTTGTCAGTTAAACCGCAGCTATAGTGGCGGAAACAGGCAGGGTTTAGGGTTTAGGGTTTAGGGTTTAGGGTTTAGAGAGACGCCAAGGATACGGAGCGACTCGCACTCAGCTTGCGCAGTAGAGCAGCAAGTGCAGCGAGCAGAGAGACGAAGACATAACACAGTAAACATATCTGCAGAGATTAGCAATTAGAGAAAGAGAAGGAGACAACAGAAAGAGACAGGGGGCTTCGTTACATTCTAATTAATAATGTTAAGGGGTGGGGAGCGCGTGCAGAGACAAAGAGAGACAGTTGGTTTATACGACGGAGACAGCAAACCCGAAAGCCTTTAATGGATGTACTACAAATGCAGACTCGGAAACAATAGACCCACCTAGCTGTAGCAGCTAGCAACCTATCTGCTGCAGCTAGCTGCAGCTAGCTGCGTGGTTGGTAGCTACTAGCTGCAGGTGCAGCTAGCTACATAGCCTGTTTGAAGAGTTATATATACTGCGGTTGTGAGGAATAGCTGCGCATACACTTCGCCCCAGGTGTACGTACAGCTGGTGGAGGTAATAAGTGCAAGTGCAGCGGCAGGAGACTGCATGCATGCAGCCTGGCTCTGTTGTTGTTATTAACAAAAGAGACAGTAGATCAGGGGACGTGTTGATTAATATATATATATATATATATAAATGTTGCTTGTAATGAAAAAATTAATAAGGTGGGAAGTGTTTTTATAATAAGTAAATGACTCTTTAATATGAGAGCAGGTTTGTTGTTAACAAGAAGACAAATATTTCTACTAGAAAGATAAATGTATATAGGAGAAAATATGTTTATAAATAATGAAGTAAACTTGCTTGTTTTATACAAACAAACATGTCTCTTAATAAAATATAAACAAACAAATATGTCTCTTAAACAATAAATTTGAATAATAGACGAAGTTGAGTTATTTGTGGGGTATGAAGTTGCTCTAATGGCTGTTTCTTCAAACAAACAAATACACAAAAAAGCAGCTGCAAATACACCGCAGCAACGAGCAACAGTATCAGACATGTTGGGGTGTATAGGCAGCTGTAAACAGCAGAACGTTTCCTCTATCTTCGGCATTACTAGCAAGGACCCTCAAACCCTAAACCCTAAACCCTAGAGGAGAGCAGCACACTCGCAGCTGTTTGTTGTATCTAAATAAATAAGCAACAACAGTAGCAGAGTTTGCTTCGCTGTATTCTATGAATAAGATTTTTATATGTTTGTTATATTAAATTAATTTCTCTTACACATTAATAGAGATGTATAACTCTATTTGAACACAAACAAATGAACAAAACTTTATTTAAATGTTTGTTTTATTTAAATAAACAAAGAGAAAAAATCTACTTCAATAGAAACCAATAAGTAAAGTTTTTATAGAAATGTTTGTTCTGCTAAATAATAAACAAATGAATACAGCTTCCTTTAAACATAAACAAAATATATAAATAACTCTATTTAAATGCCTATATTATTAATATATACAAAGTGAGAAAGGTATATAACACATATATATATATACATATATATACTGATACGCATGCATATATATATATATATATA